TTGCCAGACAGACAGAGAGAGACATAGAGACAGAAAGTGAGAAATCACCCCCCAGGGGGGATGGTCACGCTGCAATCCCTTCTCCTCCATTCTCCTCTCGGGATCTTGGGCACACACGCGCCTAGCGTGAGTTTTAAGCCACCAGGTCTGGGACAACCGCGGTCGACTACGTGGGAGTCCAGCGACATAACCATTACGCTAACTGCTGGTTCCCAAGAATTTATTTTTTAGGACAGCTGGTGACATGGGTTAAGGCAGCTGGACGCCACATGGCAGACTGGTCCAGGTCTTGGACCTGGGAGCTTGAAAAGTACGCCGTGGGGACCAGCAGATGGTGGAGTGATTATGTCGCTGGACTCCCACGTAGTTGACTGTGGTTCAAGTCCTGGACCCAGTGACTTCAAACTACACCGAGCGCGTGCATGTGTGTGCCCAAAATCCCAAGAGGAGAATGGAGAAGGGATTGTAGTGTGACCATCCTCCTGGGGGTGATATCTTGCTTTCTGTCTCTGTCTCTCTGGCGAGCACACACACACACACACTACAGCAAAAATCTCTCAGAAAACAAAAATAAGGGGCCTGCTGTTGGCATAATGGCTATGTTGCTGGATTCCCATGTAGTGGACTGTGGTTCGAGTCCCAGACCCGGTGGCTTAAATTCACGTGTTGTGCGTGCATGCCCAAGATCCCGAGAGGAGAATGGAGAAGGGATTGCAGTGTGGCCATCCCCTCTGGGAGGTGATTTCTCGCTGTCTCTCTGTCTCTCTTTGTCCTTCTGGCGAGCGCACACACCCTATAGCAAAAAACTTCTCCAATAAATAAATAAAATAAAACAAAAATAGAGAAAAACGCATTGTGTGTGTGCATGCTGTCTAAAAGCTCGAGGACAAAATAGAGGAGGGGTTGCCCTGCATGGCCGCCCCTCTGGGCTGACTTGGCCTTCCCCTCCGTGTGCACAGGCCCTCTGTCTCTGACAAGCGCACGTGCTCTAGCAAATTTAAAAATTGCTTCTCTCTCTGGAGGCTGGTATCCTGCAGCCAAACTGCCAGCATGGGCAGTTCCAGTCAGTTAGACGTCTGCTCAGGGCAGAGAGTAGGGGCCCCAGGGCCCGTGTATCTGGTACATTCCATCCACTGAGGCCTAACTGCTGAAAGGCCCCGCCTCTGAACAGCCCCGCTTCTGGGGACGCGAGTACTCCACAACAGGGTGGTCTTTGGAAGCAAGGAGCTGGGCTACAGGCCCACTCACTGCCGGGCCTCTCTGGACAGAGCTAGACAATTCTAGCACAGGGACCACTGCCCAGCGGCACCAGGCCCCTTCCCCCTCCCACCTGTCAGTCTCCCCAAAGTCCTGGGAGGGGCTGATGGGCTGGAGTCAGCAACTCGGCCCGTACCAGAAGGCTGGACCCAGGCTACTGTACCTGATACAGGCCACGGTGCGGGTAGGGCACGGGACTGCGTTTGCTCGCTTTTTAAAACATGTACCGTAAAAATAAGGTGCAAAACTCAAGCCGTGCAGATGGGTGCCAAGCAAGCCACGACAGGCCGCAGCTCGGCCTGCTGGAGCCCAGACAGCACCTGGTCTGGGCTGGGCACCTGCAAGTGGGCTCAGGTGTCCTTACGGCTGGCACCCCCAGGGGCGAAGGCACAGGGTCTGGTGGCCGTCCCGCGTGGTTTCTGGCTGTCTGGGGCCTTCCCTGGCAGGTGGGTGCACCACCCCGCGCCGCTCAGCCTCCACAGCCACATGGCGCCCCACATCTGCCCCTTTCCATAAAGACGCTTTCAAAACTGAGTTAGGGCCCACCCCAATGGCCTTGGTTTAACTGGACCTCTGCAAAGGGTTCCCAGATAACATCACAGCCTGGGCTACTGCGCTGGGCCTGGAGGACACAGGCAGCCCTAGCACCACATACGTGCCCCCGGCTCCCCACAGGCAGGCACTGGCAGCTCTCTGCCGTCCTCTTCCCTGGGTACCAGGACCCTGGTCGCGGGCCTAGGGCTGGCAGTGGGCAGCAGGTGCCAGCTCATCTTTGACATGGAGACCCACAGACTGATCCCAGGCTGCCTGCACAGGTGTGAACTGCTGGGTGGACCACTGCCCTTGCCGAGGACTCCCTGCAGCACAGTGTGGCCACTGGCGGTCACTGGCAGCCCTGTCCCAACCTGGTCTTTCTTGCAGTAAGGCAGGAAGGCAATGATCTCGCGGTTTCTGTGTCTTCGCTGTTCTGTGGATTTGGAAGAGTGCTTTTGTAATTGTGACCAACCGGCTCAGGGCAGCTGCTGACCCCGCAGGCGTGGGGAGCCTGCCCTGAGTCAGCGGGGGCAGCTGAAACCCCACAAGCCAGCTGTGGGCCATGTCCCGAGAGCCATCTGGTGCTGCTGGGAGGGACAGGGAGAGCACGCCGGGAGATGGCCATGCAAGCTGTCTCCTGCACTCCGCTCTCAAGATTTGGGGCACACATACGGTGTGTTCCCAGCCGCAGGTCCAGGACTGAAACGAGTCTTCAGCCATGTGGGATCCAGCACCTTCACCACCAGGCCCCTAGCGGCCTCCGCCCTTTTTAAAGGTTAAAAGCGGTGAAAACTCTGCCCTGAGCCAGCCTGGGACGAGCAGTGGGGACGCCTGCGGCCAGCAGGGCAGGGAGATGGCCCTGCCGCCATGGGCATGTCTGGAATGCTTGCCCCGCCCCAGGGGCAGGGCTGCCCTGACCAAGCTTCTCAGCGGGAGGGGCGTCCCGGGTGGCCTGGCACCCTTGCAATGCACGATGCAGGATAATGCCGAGACCTGAGACCCAGAGGCCAAGGCCGGGCTGGTCACTCCTTCCAGCCACCTGGCGCCCCCGGGCCAGGACCCTGGAGCAGGGTCAGAGCCAGTTCGCTCCTGATCCAGATGGGCGGCTGGCCTGGCCACCACCCCTAGCCCTGGCTTCTAGTCCCCAGCCTGCAGGGCCATCCTCCCACGTGAGACACGCCCACAGCCACACCCGCACGCCTGGCTGGGGTTCTCAGTCCGGGCAGCTCCTGCCTAGGTGGCTCCACGGGGCGGGCCCCGACGCGGGAGGGCGGGCACAGGAGGACTTAAAGGCTCCCAGCTCCAGCCTTGCGCAGAAGGAGCTCAGACCATGGCCCAGAACGCCCGGCTCCAGCTGTTTGTCAAGGTGCTGGGCTGGGGAGGGGTTGGGGAGGGGTGCCAGCGGGGCTTTCTGGGGATTGGGTCTCCTTTTCCTGGTGTGGCCTTACAGCCTACAGCAGCCTGGGGAGGAGGCCTGTGAGCCACCTCAAAGCGAGCCGGGTGGCCCTCGTCCCACTCCAGTCCTCCCAGAGGTAGCTCCTCTGTGCCAGCCAGGCAGCTGGCGAGAGGCTGGGCTGGTGCTTGGGGCTGAATCCAAGGGCCCTTGCAGCTCTTGGGAGGGTGTGGGGCTGGGTATGAGGGTGCGAGGCCCTGGTCCATCCCAGTCCTGGGCCATGTGCCCGGCGTGGCATGGGTCAGTCAGAGAACAGAGGCTGCCACCACACCCTGGCCATGAGCCTTGGCCCACCTGCCTGGGCTCTGTAGAGTGCTGCTTGGCCAGGCTCCACCCCTGCCCCGGCTCCAGTCAAGACCAAGTCAAGGGCCCTCACCGGCACTTGGCGAGGCTGGGCTGGCCAAGCCCTGCCTTGGTGTGCCCAGTGCCCACAGCGGGAGGCCGCGCTCACTCTGCCTGGAGAGATCCCTGCATTGTGCCCAGCCCTGATGCCCACTCTGCCCCCAGGCCAGCGAGGATGGCGAGAGTGTGGGGCACTGCCCCTCCTGCCAGCGGCTTTTCATGATCCTGCTTCTCAAGGGTGTGCCCTTCACACTCACCACCGTGGACACACGCAGGTGAGGCCCCCCGCCCCCACACACACACCCCTGCATTTCCTCGAGCTGCCCTTCCCCTGCCCGGTGCCCACAGGTCCCCGGATGTGCTGAAGGACTTCGCCCCGGGGTCACAGCTCCCCATCCTGCTCTATGATGGTGACGCCAAGACAGACACCCTGCAGATTGAGGAGTTTCTGGAGGAGACACTGGGGCCACCTGAGTGAGACCCAAGGGCAGGAGGGCAGGGTGGGGGCTAGGAGGGTGCTTCAGGACAGAGCTGGTGGAGGGCGCTCTGGGCAAGGGAGGGCAGCAGCACCAGCCCGAGTCCATCACACCCTCACCCGCAGCTTCCCCAGCCTGGCACCCCGATACAGGGAGTCCAACATGGCAGGTAACGATGTCTTCCACAAGTTCTCCGCGTTCATCAAGAACCCAGTGGCCACGCAGGATGATGGTGAGGCAGGGTGGGGTGTA